TACATTTTTTATTGTTTTTGGATATAAAGAAATGCCGAAGTTTTCAACAAGAAGAACTTCACAACAGATGACCTTGTTGCTTATATTCTTCATTCTCTTCATCTCTGGACGTGCCTCTCTATTAAATAAACATTAGTGAAGCTAAATTTTCTTTTGGATGATCCTCACTTTCCACTCCCCTAGAAGAGGATTGATGGAAATGAGGAGGGAGAGGCAAGCTAGTGGCTCGAGGATGGCGTATAGTAGTCCGATGATACCGAGTACTTAAGTTAGCTTCTATTATTATTATTATCATCTTGATCTCTGTAATTTGTTTGTAATTAATACCTTCTTTTGTTGCCCAGGGGCTGCAGGAGAAGTCTAATTTCTACGTGGTTTTCTATTTAGTGGATTGTCAATTAGGTTGTATTGTGCTTGTGATGAGTGGCGACTATCTACTTTCCTCACCCTCACAGAACTCTTCTTGACGTAAGGTCTTCTATAGGCTTAGAAATTTTGTTCTCCTATCGATTGCTTTGTATGTTTCGAAGTTTAATATACATTGGTGCTTTGCTTTATTTTTACCTCAAAAAATAAAGAAGCTAAATTGACAAATCGAAGGCACACACAAGACAATAGTAGACCACAAACCAATGCAAGCCAACCAATCACAGCACAAACACAAGATATACGTGGTTCGGCAATATGCCTACGTCCACGGGGCAAGGAGAGGGAAGCTTTACTATTCAAATCAAAGGGGAGTACAAGTTAGGGTTACAAATCTTACCCAAAACCCTCAAATAAGACCAAAAGATCTCTCAAATAGACTCCAACAATAGAAGCCCTAAAATCTCCCTTTGCTCAGCTCAAAATCGCCCAAACTCTTACCCTAAAAACGAGTTTAGGGTATTTATACAACTCCCCCGCTTCGTCGGTCGACCGGACCGGTCGACCGCGATCAATTCCGGTCGACCGACCCGGTCGACCGACCACCTCCAGCAGAACCCCGAAAGAATCCAGAGAGCCGTCGGTCGACCGGGCCGGTCGACCGACCTCCTTGTGCACGAATCCGGTCGACCGGACCGGTCGACCGCCACCTGTTTTTCCTGATTCTGCTGCTGATGCTGAAATTCCTTCACCTTGTGCATTCTCTTGCCAATGGACTTGAGGTACTCTTTTTGTTTGGACTTACCTATCTCAACTATACAGTTGATTTTTGTTGGTCAGTTTGATGAGGTAGTTTCTATAAACAGGTGACTGAACCTCTTTTGGAAACGTCCCGAAAAGGTTACCTTGCTGCGATATCCGCATCAAGCTATTCTTTTGTCTCTTTACTTCAAAATTTTCTTCCAATAATGAATCCAGGTATGTGCCCACTGTTGTGCGTAAAACCTTTATCTTGCCATTTTCTATTACAAACTAAGCAGTCAGATGACTATGTTATTGTTTATTCCACATGTTCAAATAACTATATGGTCACTCCTGGCAACCATTACATCACAAATCTTAATCTACATGTGATTTGTGCAAAGATATCGGTTTTAGGTTGCAATTTCAACTTTCATTAGAAATCGAAATAAATAAGCGTAAAATCCCCTTGGATCGTATGGTAAAACATCCTGGATTACAAAAATAAATGGTTAAAGCTAGGAACTTGTAATTGATTTCTGTTGTTGTTCTGGAAATATATGTAATTATATGCAACAATTCTTAGGAAGTCTCTAATTAGGATTCAGGTTTCATAACTATTTTAAAATTATATAATAAATTAAAAATCCTATAATCCCTTAAGTATAATCAAAACATTCTGGGCTATAAACTAAAGGTTCTAGATGGGAATAACCATTTATGTATAATGAAATTTAACTGAAACTAGCAGCTTTGGCAGCAAAAAAAAAAGTTTTAATTAGTTTTTGCATGTATATTCTCTTCTTTGTCACCTCATTCTATATATGTATACATACACACGCTCTACCTTAGTATTAACACTATGTTTGAGAGTTTACTAATTACTTACGGGAAGGAAAAGAAGGGAAGAGAAAATAAAGGAGAGCACGTGAAAGAAAGGGGGAAAATCATAATATCATGTTTAGGAGTTTAATAAAGGTAATGAAGAGAAATCAATTATGAGCCGTTGGATTTATAGTAAGATTGTTTAAATTTTCACCTCCTCTACAACCCAATTAGAGGGGAATCAAATCCTATGGAATTGTGCCTAATATTGGAGGCGAATGTTGTCACCTGACTCGCCTCCCTTTCCTTTCATTCTCTTTTGAGAAAAACTCTCAATTAGGGTGAAACTTTTTATTTACCTACCTTTTCCCCTTCTCCTCTCCTCCATTCACCCCGTAAGTTTCTTAATAACTTTGCATAGGATCACAATTGCGTAGTTTGAAATCAGGAACTATACACTCTGTGTACCTATACCTTTATAAATATATCATGCACAATACCATCCCTCTCTCAACTTCTCTAAGTTAGAAGCTGAGTAATATTCAAAGAGTTTTTCCTTCAAGAGCACCATTTTCATCAGCAAGGCTCTCTCTCTAATTGTCAACATCATGCTTCAAGTCTTTCCAGGCACTTGCTTTCAAGATTTCAAGCCCTCAGTTCTTGCTATCAAGAAGTGAATCCCTCTAGCTTCATCAGCGAGGTTCTCTTTCTCTGTCTCTCTCTCTCTAAAAAATGGTAGCATCATGTTTCAAGTCTTTACAGGCATTTGCTTTCAAGACCTCAGTTCTTGCTGTCAAGAATTGAATCCCTCTAGCTTCATCAGTCCTCATCGGATTTAAGCTGTTTCAAAAGGTAGCTACCACCCTGGCCCTCCCTATTTCCTCGTTTTGCACTTCTGCTAACACTTAAAACTGATTTTTCTATAGAAATGGAAAGAGCTGTTTGTAATATTTGTCATCATACCTTCAATCAGTATGAAATCATATATCATCAGGAAAACTGTGTTCTGTTGCCAAATGGACAAGAACGCCGGGATATGATGTTAAACAAACACATTATGGATGATTTCAACTATCGTCACGTACAATGACCCTAGAATGAAGATCTTGCTAAAGCTGAAGAGAAGGAACAAAACAGGGAGTCGGTTATTGATCTGGAAACTTGCAGAACTTATAAGCAGCATGACGGTTCTCCTACGATGTCTAACTCGGTTAATATGGCTTTGCCAAAAGCAGCTGAGACTGTAGACGGAGACATCATTTAGAAGACAATCGATGTTTTTTCCTTTTTTCTTTGTTTTTGGGTTTTTTATAATTTCTTTCATGCAAGTGTTTGACGTTAAATTTTCTTGGAATTTTATGATGACAGGATCCTCAAGAAGCTTTTAGCTGATTACATCATTACATGTCTTCAATGATGGGTAATATTGATGGTATGGTCTCAGTCCACTGAAGAGTTTATCCCATTTGAGAACAGATTATAGTTTCTGTGAGATAGCGTAAAATAATGTTTACAAATTTCTGGTGAAACTCAAAAGTAATGTTTACAAATTTCTGGTGAAACTCAAAATATGTGAACTTAGTCTAGATCTTTGAGTTCTTGGTGTTGTTGTAAGGCTTATTTCAAAGATTTTGCTTAGTTATGGATTCAAGTTAAGAATGCTGAACTGTTCCCTTAACTGCTGAGTTGCCTGTTTAGGCACTTACTTTCTGGGAAATGTATAAGTAATAAAGTGGTAACTTGTACAATTATTGCGGTTATTCTGGGGGGGGGGGGGGGAGTTGTGAAATTAACCCATAAGTTTATTTTTCTCATGTCTGCAAATTTGGATATACAATGCAAAGATTGTTGAGAATGTGTGGTTTTACATCTAATTACATGTACAAGGCAACCTATCATATCCTGATAGCTTTTCGATCCGAAAAGGTAGGTTGCAAATCTGGATCGAAAAGTTATCAGTATATGATAGGCTACCTTTCCGGATCGAAAAGCTATCAGGATATGATATGTTGCCTTGTACATGTAATTAGATGTAAAGTCACACATTCACAACAATCTTTGCATTGTATATCCAAATTTGCAGACATGAGAAAAACAAACTTATGAGTTAATTTCACAACCACCCCCTACCCCCGAACTTTGGGGTGTGAATAATCGCAATAATTGTACAAGTTACCACTTTATTACTTATACATTTCCCACAAAGTAAGTGCCTAAACAGGCAACTCAGCAGTTAATGGAACAGTTCAACATTCTTAACTTGAATCTATAACTAAGCAAAATCTTTGAAATAAGCCTTGCAACAACACCAATAACTCAAAGATCAAAACTAAGTTCTCATAGTTTGAGTTTCACCAGAAATTTGTAAACATTACTTTTGAGTTTCACCAGAAATTTGTAAACATTACTTTACGCTATCTCACAGAAACTATAACCTGTTCTCAAATGGGATAAACTCTTTAGTGGACTGAGACCATACCATCAATATTACCCATCATCGAAGACATGTAATAATGTAATCAGCTGAAAGCTCCTTGAGGATCATGTCGTCCTAAAAATCATAAAATTCCAAGAAAATTTAACGTCAAACATTTGCATGAAAGAAATTATAAAAACCCAAAAACAAAGAAAAAAGGTAAAAGGAAAAAAAACCTCGATTGTCTTCTAAAGGACGGTCTCCGTCTATAGTCTCAGCTGTTTTTGGCAAAGTCATATGAGCTGAGTTAGACACCATAGGAGAACCGCCATGCTGCTTATAAGTTCTGCGAGTTTCCGGATCAATAACTGACTCCCTGTTTTGTTCCTTCTCTTCAGCTTTAGCAAGATCTTCAGGCCTAGGGCCATTGTACATTATGACGGGGGTTGAAATCATCCATAATGTGTTTGTTTAACTTCATATCCCGACGTTCCTATCCATTTGGCGACAGAACACAGTTTTCCTGATGATATATGATTTCATACCGATTGAAGGTATGATGGCAAATATTACAAACAACTCTTTCCATTTCTATAGAAAAATCAGTTTTAAGTGTTAGCAGAAGTGCAAAACAAGAAAATAGGGAGGGCCAAGGTGATAGCTACCTTTTGAAACAACTTAAATCCGATGAGGACTGATGAAGCTAGAGGGATTCAATTTTTGATAGCAAGAACTGCGATCTTAAAATCTTGAAAGCAAGTGTCTGGAAAGACTTGAAACATGAAGCTATCATTTTTTAGAGAGAGAGAGAGAGAGCCTCACTGATGAAGCTGGAGGGATTCACTTGATAGCAAGAACTGAGAGCTTGAAATTTTGAAAGCAAGTGTCTATAAAGACTTGAAACATGATGCTGTCATTTTGTGTATGAGAGAGAGAGAGAGAGAGAGAGAGAGAGAGAGAGAGAGAGAGAGAGAGAGAACCTCGTTGATGAAGCTGGAGGGGTTCATTTCTTGATAGCAAGAACCGAGGGCTTGAAATCTTAAAAGCTTGAAAGCAAGTGCTTGAAAAGACTTGAAGCATGATGCTGTCAATTTGAGAGAGAGAGAGAAAGGGGGGGGGACCTTGCTGATGAAACTGTTGAAAATGGTGCTCTTACAGGAAAAAAATCTTTGAATATTACTTAGTTTCTAACTTAGAGAAGTGGAGAGAGCGATGGTACTGTGCATGATATTTATAAAGGTATTGGTACACAAAGTGTATAGTTCTTGATTTTGAACTATGCATTTGTGATCCTAGGCAAAGTTATTAAGAAACTTAAGGGGTGAATGGAGGAGAGGGGAAGGGGAAAATGTTGGTAAATAAAAAGTTTCATCCTACTTGGGAGTTTTTCTCAAAAGAGAATGAAGGGAAAGGGAGTTGACAACATTCGCCTCTAATATTAGGCACAATTCCATAGGATTTGATTCCCCTCTAATTAGGTTGTAGAGGAGGTGAAAATTTGAACAATCATAATATAAATCCAACGGCTCATAATTGGTTTCTCTTCATTACCTTTATTAAACTCCTAAACATGATATTATGTTTCTCTCCCTTTCTTTCACATCCTCTCCCTTATTTTCTCGTTCCTGTTTTTCCTTCCCGTAATTAGTACTCTCAAACATAGTGTTAATACTAAGATGGAACGTGCGTATCTATCTATACATATATAGAATGAGGTGATAAAAGAAGAGAATATACATGCAAAAACTAATTAGAACTTTTTTTTTGGCTGCCAAAGCTGCTAATTTCAGTTAAATTCATTATACATAAATGGTCATTCCCATCTATAACCTTTAGTTTGTAGCCCAAGATGTTTTGATCGTAATTAAGGGATTATAGGATTTTTAATTAATTATATAATTTTAAAACAATTATCAAATTGGAATCCTAATTAGAGACTTCCTCAGAATTGTTGCATATAATTATATATATCCAGAACAACAACCGAAATCCATTACAAGTTCCTAGCTTTAACCATTTATTTTTGTAATCCAGGATGTTTTATCATACGATCCCCAAAATCGATATCATTGTTGCATAAATCACATGGTCTAAATCTGAAATTTATCCAAAACCACACAGAAAGAACTCAAATTTCAACTAAAATCCAAATACCCAAATCATATTTTAACTCAAAAATCTCTAAGTTGCATGAATCAGGCTCATCTTTCACCCATGAAGTAACTTCTACTACCGATTAAAGAAAGAGGGCTTACCCCGAAAACATTAAGATCATGCCCAAAAAAAGAATTCCCCTCCAACACAGTCTTTTATCCATCATCATAAAAAGATTCCTAATTGAACAATATAGAACCAAATGAAATCGCATTAGAACAAAAATCTTAGACCCTAGAGGGAGAATTGATGATTAAAATCGAAAGTTAACAAAAGACCTGAGTGATCTCTTGGCGGTGATGAACTCAGATGCTAATCGAACCCCCCCTCTTCGCTCTCTCTCTCTCCCCCATTTGCACCAGCGAATGATATATGGACACGTGGGTTATCAGAGGGAGATGCATATGCTGGGGATTCTTCAGACGGTAGTGCGAAAAAGTTAACAGAATTCGAGTTCTCACTTAAGGGCTTGTTTGGATTGAGGGAAATAAGGGAGAAGGGAAGTTAGGAGAACCATTCACCTTGTTTGGGAACATTTAAAATGTAAAGTTATTCACCCTAGTTCCCCTTGGTTCACCCCTTAATAGTATAAAATTTGTCACCCCCAAATTGGGGTATAACCAAGGGGAAGGGAACTCTCTTCCCTTCCCTTCTCTCATCTAGTTTTCCTTAACTTCCCTTAACCCCATTGAAATCCAAACACACCCTAAGACAAAATAGGGAAGAGGATATCTGATGACTCGCGGTGAGCTGATCGCAGTTTGTTATCCCTTGAAAATTAGTCTATATTATTCCCTCACTATCTTTGAATTTGCTCCTATGTCCCTCAAAAGTGTAAAGGACTTGAAATTTAGTTCCTCAATGACCAAGATACCCCTCATGTAACTTTTATGAACGCGCATAGGTTTTGTGGGGGAACATAAATGTAGGAGATATTTTGGTCATTAAGGGGGAAATTGCATGACCTCTTACAAAATGAGGGACTTAAGAGCAATTTCAAAGACTTGAGGGGAAAAAAGAGCCAATAGGCTTCAGGACCTACTTGTATCCTAAATTATTCTTTTTGTTCATATCCCTTGACTATTTTAGTTTCATCTTATTTACTCTTCTGAACTATGAAAATCCGTCCCCTTTCACCTTAAAAACTATTTTAAACCCCCTTTTTATCCCTTGAGCTATCATTTGATCCATTCACCATACTCATAAAATATTTAAAGAGAAGCAATAACTTGGTACTAAAAGTCATGGATAAGTGTGTAATTAAAGTGACACTAAACATAGTTAAAAGATTAAATATAGACGAATCAGAATAGTTCAATGGTTAAGATGAGACTAAAAATAATTTAGTATGTATGAAATGACAAATTGGATGGTGTAGAGGAAAAGTGACACATGATGACTTAAACTGTTTTTTAGCTGCTGATGTGGCACGGATTTTCTGACGTGGCAGTGTTTAAAGGTGGGAATTAACCCTCTAAAAATTTCAATTCACCCAAAATAGGACAAATCTGTGCCACATCAGCAGCTAAAAAACAGTTTAAGTCATCACGTGCCACGCATGTGATGAGCTCTCGTCGGAAAACTGTTCGCCAACGAGAAAAATGGCCTTGTTGGTAAGTTGAATCAATTAAAATGCCTTAATGCAGGTTTGCCTAATTAAAATACCTTCTTGGTAAATGAGGTGGAATTAAAACACCAATATGGGTATTTAGCCTCATTTAATCCATGTTAACATGCAAAAACTATAATTAAATGGCATCGCATGAAATTTTCCTAAAGTTGGTCAAGGGTTTCAATTGAACATGAAAGCTTTAGTGCTGATTTTATAAAAGAGTAAAGCTTTTGTAAATTTCAGCGAATAGAAACTATTGTTCATCAACATTTTATATCTATTGATTTTTCTTTGGGAATTCATCTTTGTATATGATACACATCATGCACAAATCCTAAATATAGTTATAAATTATAATGTGCAAAATTGACCCACACGTTGCTGCGATATTTGTGTGAAGGAGCCGAAAATCATGGTTAAGTATTTTGCTTAGAACTTGTTTTTCAGTTTGTGGATAAAAATGTATTTGGGAGTTGTAATATAGATAATTAGTTAATTTTAAATAAATCTCTCAACTCATTGAATTTGTTATTAGGTATCACGATATTTATAATCTTTTTAAATTAATGACTCCGATTATTACTTCTACTCTTTATTAGAGGGACTCATTTTTAAATAATTTAAGAACTAAAGGATCTAATATTAATTTTAATTATTTGAGGAGTCAATTTCTAAATGAGTTAAGAATCGGCAAGACGTGATAGCACTCTTCATGATTTGAGGGATTAATTTCAATATATAAGAGTTATAAGTCACTAATATTGGGGGTGGGGTGGGGGGGAAGGTTTGAGTCCATGGTTTTCCAAAATAAATAGGGTAAATTTTGAGTCTATTTGTTGAAATAAAAATTAAACTTTTTTCTTTTAAGTAGATTGACATCGAAATCATTGAAATTGATATTGTATACTCATATTCCAAAATTATTTTGAAATTAGTCCCTCAAGTTAATAGAAATTATTAGGTTCTCTAATTCTTGCAATATTTTTTAAATATATAAAGATTTAACTTTAATTAGTTCTACTTTTTATAAAAGGGAATAATTTCAATTTTTTTTAAATATTAGGGAACCTAATATCAATTTTAATAATTTGAGGGGTTAATTTCTAATTAACTTAAAAAGTACAGGACTTAGTAACAATTTTCATTATTTGAGGGATAAATTTCAAAATAAGAAAGATGTAAAGGACTCAAGTTGGAAAAAATAAACAAGGAATGTTGAAGGAATCAAACCTATGACCTCAGGATCAATAGATTAAGGGTCGTACCAACTAAGCTAGTTAACATTTGAGTTGATTTAGCTTCAGTATTTATATATATAGCTATTTATAATGTAGTTACTTTCTACAGTTTTAGACTCAAATAACGTTTAGTGTTAGATATAATATATATACTATATACCCTATATATATATATATATATAATACTATATATATATAATATATCATATATATCATATATATGAGAAAATGCGCGGTCATGTTGGTACCAAGCACAAAAAGTCTATGTTGGGGTGCGCATCGTAATCCCCTCTACTCAATTCAAATCGGTCGCAATATTTCATGTACTCCTCAACTTCATGCTGAAAGATCAAATTACAAAAAATTATGCTTGGCTAGTGAGGTGACATAATCCCTTCTACTTCATTCAAATGGCTTGCCAGTATCCTTATATAACTCCAACCTAATGTGAAAGGCTCACATTATTTGAATAAGCTGGAGGAATTGTGCCACCTCACTATCTGTATAACACAAAAATTTGCTGCCTTGTACCAAGTATACCCATATGTCCTCCTCTCTCTCTCTCTCTCTCTCTATATATAATATATATATATATATATATATATATATATATATATATAATATATATATAGATATATATATATATATATATATATATTAATGGGTATCCTTGACAAGGAGAGGATTTTCCTCATTGACAATGAAGTGGCACAATCCCCACAATGTGAAGAAGAGAGAATAAAGTAGGAGAGAGAATTTCACATGGTGGTAATTGTGCCACATCATTGTCAAGAAGGGAATCACCCTCCTTGTCTAGGATACCCATTAATCACACACACACACACACAGAGAGAGAGAGAGAGAGAGAGAGAGAGAGAGAGAGAGAGAGAGAGAGAGAGAGAGAGAGAGAGAGAGAGAGAGAGAGAGAGAGAGAGAGAGAGAGAGAGAAACATATGTCAACTTAAGTGGACCATACGTCCTACTTTCTATCCATTGATGATATCTAGGGATCCATGCAAGATATGAATAGATTTTTTATCATACTCCATTTAAATGCACGAGTTTGGGAAAAATTTTTAGTAGAAAAAAATACCATTGGAATTCAAATACTAATCCATTAAGTAAGAGTAAGTTGATAAATTAATAAATTCTTATTGGATATACATAGTAGGAAGATAAGAATATAGTTTAAATTGAAATGAAAACCTGAATGAAAGGGCAACTTAGGTAAATTAGATGATTTATTAAATACCAAAATTACCCCCATTGCTCTTATATGTTATCAATGATCAAACTACAAACAATTATTCACGTGTTACATGATTAATAATGCCAAACTGAGAATAATTATTCACATACTATATGATTAATAATTACACACAACGTGACGATCTCTCACCGACTAAAATTCAAGTAGTTAACGGTACGTTTAGGTTAATTAGACGATTTATTAAATGCCAAATTTACCCTCTTGCTCTTATATGTGATCAATGATCAAACTGTAAATAATTATTCACGTGCTATATGATTAATAATACCAATCTGTAAATAATTATTCACATGCTATATGATTAATAATTACACACAAAGTAGTGATCTCTCACCAACTAAAATTGAAGTAGTTCAAAGTACTGCATAATTAGTTTCAAAATTTAATTATACTATTATTATTTAAATAGAACTCTATTTATAATTGTTATCCTCTCACATGCAACATCATATACCAATATATATAAGCCAAGAAATTATAATAATTTCTATAGCATTTTTATCTCCTTCTACAGACATGTGCCTTTGTTATTAGATTAGATTAGGTTATTTTAAAGTAATTAAGTATATTGTATATTTATTTTTTTCAGATTAAGAAATTACAATAATTTTCACAGTACTTTTATCTCCTTCAACAAGTATGTATCTTTATTATTTTCTTCTTATTAGATAGATTAGATTGTTTAAGAATTATGAATTATAAAATTACAACAACTTTCATAGTACTTTCATCTATTTTCTTCTTATTAAATTAGATTAGATTATTTTAAAGTAATTAATTATATTGTATATTTGATTTTTTTTCAAATCATAAAGTTTAATTATACTATTATTATTTAAATAGATATTGTTCGTATAAAAGTCAAAGAGAATCTCACACGTACTTTGATCTCAATGCCAATTATAATACTTATATATGAGTTTTGGTTAAAATAAATTTCTTGTATGAGGTTAACTTATATGATCATACTTTAATCGGATTAGATAATTTAACATTTGTTCTTTACACCCAAACAATTTTAATCGGATTATGTGGTAATCCCTATATTTAAGGAGGGTTTTTCTAAATTTTTTAAAGTTAAGAAGCTTTCTTTTATAATCATCCCAAGTTAAGAGGGGTTTTTCTCAATACGTGATCGAATCTAGGATCTTGGGAGCCATATTGAAACCTTCTAATTGTCTGGGTCATCTACGGTGGGCATTACTCTAATATTTTCTTCTATGAGGAGACACTTAAATATTCATGGTAGAAATTAGAAATGTTAAGTTTTCCGCTTTAATTTTGGCCAATTTTGAGATAACTCCATAAGCTTTAAAGATAATCACTTAACCCCATTTTGTACTGTGGGTATCTCAGAAATCCCTGATAATTTTAATTACCCTTTTAAATTAACATCTAATGAGTAAATTAATTACTCAGGGGATACAAATTTAAGGGAGTTTTGTGTAAATTACCCTAAAAATTATTCAATTGAAAATGAAGATTTTTTTTATTTTATTTATCCGGGGTATTTTGGTTATTTGAATGCACGTGGTTTTCGCGTGACAGCAAGACCTAATGGCCTTAATTAGGTGGTTCTCTAACGAAGCTTAAGGGAGATTAAGTGGTATTTCTAAAATACTTGCTAATGTGAGTATCTTACTTTCTCCTCTGCTCAAGTTATTCCCCGATGATGCAGCTCGAGTGATGCACAAAGAAACAATGGGAATTCCATTGAAAACAAACAAGGGTTAATTGCAAACAGACTCTTTTAGTATCATCCAATTGTAAGAAGACATCTTGTAGTTCTATTTATTGCAAATAGATTCTGTGTAGTTAATTTTTCTTGTTGTGAATAGACTCCCCACAGTATTAGCATATAGGTGTGCATATACCCCCTTAGCAAACTGTTTCAACTCCTTAAAAAACAATAAAATAAAATAAGAGACAATTGGATGTCTATCCTTACCAATGGAATTATAGGGGATCTATCCGTCTCCTCAAACATATTTAACAATTTTAACAGTAAATAACAACAAAAACGACAACGACAACAACAACAACAACAATAATAATTCACACAGGAAGTCTATTCGCAACGAGCAGAACTACAAGGGGTCAATTCATAACAAATAAAATTATTGAGGGTCTCTTTACAATTGAGTAATGCTGCACGGGGTCTAGTTTTAATTAACTCAAAAAACAATGGAGATCGGTAAATATACGACTTACCAATATCCAACTTGTGTTTTAGCATTGGTTATAAGGTGTTTTTTTGTGGTAATCGAAGAAAGTGGACTTTCAAATAAGTTTATCATTACTATTTAACAGCGTTTAGTAATTGTATTTGCCTTTTTATTGAAAACCTAAATCATCAATCAACGCAACAAAAAATTGACATACAATACACATCAAAGGAATTACAAATGTAAACCCCTATATGCTCACTTCACTTACAAACAACCAGCCAACATTAGCACAAGCGAACTCGGTTCATTCCACACAAAGATTCGTG